CATCATGGAGGATGACTACATCATAGCTGTTAAGCCACTTAGAATCATAGCCCAGCCAAGTTGACACATACTCTTACCTATTACAGGAAGTTTGTCTGACCTCCACCTCATAGGAATCAGCTTTGGGCTGATGGTGATTCCCTTTCCTTTTGAAGTTAGATGACTTTTGACCCTACCCCTAGAACCACTGAATTATAGAGCTCTTGGCAAGACATGCCTATAAAGCAGTTATTCCAGCCTGGTCCCTATGAGCCCTTGGGAGTTGTTAGCTAGGGTAATTAAGACTGATGTGAATTTATTAATTGGTGCCATTATAATGTTAACCTCATCTAGGCAGCAAATTACATGCATTAAAAGTGTGAACTGTTAAAAAAAAAATGGGTAAACGTTCTGAACAAACACCTTGCCAAAGAAGATATAAATCAAACCAAAACCAAATGCACTGCCATCGAGACCACGGCTAGAAGGTCCAGATTAAGTAAGTCACTGCACCGCAATAGGTTCTCCATACAACCCAGCAGTTGAAGTTGTAAACATTTACCCTAATGAATTGAAAATTCATGTTCCACAAAAACCTACATGCAAATGTTTATGGGAGCTTTATTCATAATTGCCCAAAATTGGAAACAACTAAGATATTCTTCAGTGGGTGATGGGGTAAATAAACTGTGGGACATCCATATAATAGAGTATTATTCAGTGGTAAAAAGAAATGCACTATCAAGCCATGAAAAGACATAGAGGGACCTTCAATGCATATTGCAAAGTGAAAGAAGCCAGTCTGATTTCAACTAGATAACATCTAGAAAAGGAAAAACTACAGAGACAACAAAAATTTCAATGATTGCCAGGAGTTCAGGGGGACAGAAGGCAGGCTGGACAGTAGAATGCAAGGCATTTTAAAAGGGCAATGGAACTATTCTACATAATGCTGTAATGATGGATACATGCATGGCATGCCTTTGTTGAAACCCTTAGAAAAGTACAACAGAGTCCGTATGGAAACTATAACCCACTGTCATCGAGTCGCACCCGACTCATAAAAACCCCTCCTTGGGTTTCCAAGGCAGTATCACTACAGAAGTAGATTGCCCAACTTTCCCTCCAAGGAGTGGCTGGTAGGTTTGAACCGCCAGGCTTCTGGTTAGCAGCCAAATAGCTTACCCACTGCATCACCAGAGCTCTTTAACACTAATGTGAGATGTTAATAACAGAGAAACTGTGTGTAGGGGGAGACGGAGTATATGGAAACTCCCTGAACTTTCTGCATAGTTTTTCTGTATCCATGAAAAATAAAGTATATTAAGATGCTCGAAAGAAAAAGAGTGAGCCACAAAGCCAGTCTTCCTGGGTTCAAAACTTGAGTCTGGTTCTTACCAGCTCTGTGATCTTGGGCAAGCAATCCTACCTCTCTGAATCATGGTCTCCCTGAGAGCATGATAACCACACCTGTGTGCATTAGTCAGAATAGGCTAGGTTATGCTGTAGCAACTGGTAGTGCCGAAAATTCAGTGAGAAAATCCACAAAGTACTTCTTTCATTCAACAAATATTTACTGAGCACCTAATATGTGCTAGGCACTGTTTTAGGGACTGGATACACAGCATTGTATACGACAAAATGAAATCATTGCCCTTGGGAGGCGGGTTTAACATTTAGTGAGAAGGACAGACTAGAAAAGGGTAAACAAACTATACAGTATGTTAAATAAATAAATAAACAAACCAAACTGTCATTGAGTCAATTCCGACTCATAGTGACCCTTCTTTGGGTTTCTGAGGAGGTATGAGGCAGTATCTCTGTGGATAGTAGATTGTCCCGTTGGTCTTCCAAGGAGTGGCTGGTGGGTTTGAACCACCAGCCTTCTGGTTAGTAGTCAAATGCTTTACGCACTGTATCACCAGAGCTCCAGTGGAGAAGTGTTTAGAGGTAGAGCCAACAAGGTTTGCTGAGAGGACAGAGTGGATAAGAAAAAGAAAGCAGCCACAGGACAACCCTAGGGTGTCTGCTTTTCACTGGAAGGACAGAGCTGCCATTGATTGAGATGGGGAAGGGGAAGAGGGAGCTGCCTTGGGAGAATAGTTGGGAGCTCAGTTTAGGAACCCTGGAGCTTCAGAGACTTGGGAGATAGCAGGATGCGGGAGCCTGGAATTCAGGGGAGATGTCAGGGCTGAAGATAGCAATTTGGATCCTGACAGCCTGGAGATGGAATTTAAGCTGTGTGTGTGTGTGTGGTCCCCTATAGCTTGAGTGGGACTGAGAGGAGGACTAAGGCCTGAGAATCAGAGCTCGCCAGGGAGAAAGACCCAGATCAGAATATCGGAACAATCAGCAGTGAGTGCCATGAAAAAATACAGCACTGAAGAGCATGTAACTGGAAGCCTCACCTAGCTAGACTGGGGAGGGGACTGGTTAGGGAGGGCTTCCTGGAAGAGGTGACTCGTGAACTGACACCCAAAGCCTGAGTATCTATAAAACCAGGCAAAGAAAGGCAGGAGTGTTCCAGGTTGAGGACACAGTTCATGCCAAGGGCTGACCGCAAGTGAGCCCAGGGAGAGGACAGAGAACTGAAGCTGCTCAGTCAGCTGAAACCGAGTGGCAGGGAGTGTGGTGAGAAGGGATGCCAGATTAATCACCGCCAAAAGATCTGTCATCAGCCAAGCCCAGGTTCTGCCACTCTCTGTGACCTTAGGCAAGTGACTATGCCTTTCAGAGCCTCCATTTTCTCTCCTGTTATTTCCTGCCTCAGAGACAAGGCTTGTGTAGTAATTTTCCTGGCCTGGCCTGGCCTGGCCCCAACAAGTCCTCAGGAGCATTAGCTCGATTTTGGTTTTCTCTTGCTGGGAACTTGTGTTTTCAGTTATTATCATATTAATTACATTATTGGATTGCATGCCTTAGGGTAGTGGTTAAAGGTACAGGCTAGATAGTCTGGCTGCCTAGGTTAACCCTGAGTCAGTTTATTTATCTCCCAAAAGGGGGTAGGTTATGAAGACAAATGAGGTGCTACATGTAAAAAGCGCTTAGGAGGATGCCTAGCATTTATTTTTAATAGTATTATTTATAGATGAGCCAAAGCCAACCAGCTGAGGATTCAAAGTCATGCCTGGCTGGCTTCTGGGGAAGGGACTGAGGGCCAAACTTAGCTTCCTCTGAGGAGCCCTGAGAAAATACTGAAAGCGCACAGGTTGAAGGCTGGAAACAGAGCAAGGGAAGGAAAGGCAATTTCAAACTCCTCCTCTCCACCCTCAAAACTCGGGAACATTTGGCTTCAGAAACCAGGCCGTGGCCAGGGGGCTCTTCCTGTGCTAAGGGCCCACTTTAGAGACTGGAAGACCGAGATCAGCTCTGGTAGCCTAGTGTCTAAGGCATTTGACTGCTAACCAGAAGGCTGGTGGTTCGAGGTTGGGCAATCTACTTCCGTAGTGATACCACCTCGGAAACCCAAGGTCGCTCTATGAGTCGGGTTTGACTTGACAGCAGTGAGTAAAGAAAAGTGATTTTGGTGGCCCTTAACTTAGGGGAAGGGGATGGAGGTGGGTGGGGGGTGGCACAAGAAAGCTTTCCTAGCAGAAGTCCTACCTGCAATTTGACAGCCATCTGGCTACTGCAGGAGTCGGGGAAATCAGTTCAGACTCAATCTTGCCACAGATGGCGGAGCTTGTTCCCAGTGTTTGTATAAATCAAACAAAGCTCAGGACTCCAAATGCTCAGTTTGTAATGGCATGACCTGGATGAGGACCGTGGGCCGAATGCCTTATCAAACGAAAACCTCATCTGCAGCAGAATGGAAGCAGGCCTCGGAGTGAAAATTCACACTAAGGCAGGGGGCGCCGTGGTCTCCGTGATTCTCCAGGTCGCCTCGGAATCCAATCAGGTGCCCTCACCTGGGCCTGGGAGATGCAGGGGAGACCTAATACCCTACTAAATATTGGGGAGCCAGAACCCACAGCCCGTGACACTTGAACGATGGAACTGTAGTATCCACTCTTCTTACGTGGGACAGGGGCTGGCGTGCGCAGGCGCAGTTGGCGCATTCCGGCCCTAGGACCGCGCGAATACCCGCCAAGCCGCCCCGCAGCGCCAGAGCAGATGGCTGCCGCCTGAGTCACCGGCCCCGCCCTCGCGAGCCGGAGGCTGCCGGAGGCCTGGGAGAAGCAGACGAACTGACTCTCCGACCTGTGAGCGAGGCGGTGAGAACCCAGACCAAACTCCCTCTGCACTCCATAATCCCGGCCCCGGCGGCCCCCAGACCTTACTAGACGCTGGTGGCTTCATAGCTCCCCCAGATTTACAATCTTAGATTCTTAGGATCTCCAGACCTGTCCCTCCGTTATCCCGGCCCGGGGATCCGAGCTTATGACTGAAGATGCAAACGGTTTCTCGTAAATTCTGCCCTGGAGCCCCTAGAACCATGATCCTAGATCCGTACTTCTAATTGCAATGGGGAACCCCTTCCACTGGCCCGGGGGCTCACATTCAGTCTTGAACGCGAGCCCACCGACCCAGCAGGGACGCCGTAATCTCGCCACCGGCGTTCCTAGACTCAATTCCTTGTTCCGAATTTCCCGAATCCTGCTTTGAGGGACTACAGGCCGAGGACCCCTAAATCCAGTTTTGAGGCTCTGGATCTGACTTGAGCGCCCAGACACGTCAGGGACGTCTTACACCAACTTCAGGCCCCCGTCTGGAGAACTTCTCCAGACCTGGACCCCTACCCTTAATGATGCCTGTGGTGGATGGAATTCAGGGTCCCTCAAAGACCCAGAGGGCCCCTTTAGATCCGAGAGCGTTTCAGACTTTATACTCCGTTCTTATCCCACCCTCACAACGAGCCCAGACCCCATCCCAGCGGGACCCCCAAGGCACAGCTAGAGGGTTGGCCCCCGCCCAGAGGCTTCAGATGCCTCCCATTTCCACTCCCGGAAACGTGTATTTTTGGAGGGGGGTTCAGTGGAGAAGTGGCCGCTTGACTTCTTTTTTCCTCTCCTCAGGAGTCGAAGTCGCAGCCATGTTCCTGGTCAACTCGTTCTTGAAGGGAGGAGGCGGCGGCGGCGGCGGGGGCCTGGGCGGGGGCCTGGGGAACGTACTCGGAGGCCTGATCAGCGGGGCTGGGGGGGGCGGCGGCGGCGGCGGCGGCGGTAGCGGTATCGGAGGAGGCGGTGGCGGTGGCACGGCCATGCGTATCCTGGGCGGGGTCATTAGCGCCATCAGGTAAGGCGGGGCCTGGAGGAGGAAGAGGCACAACAGGAATAGGATAGCTAACTTGCACACAGGCCTAGAACTTTAATTAGGCGGTGCCAGGTGCGGGGCGCGATGATGCTGGTTGCAAGAGGATACTCAACCGGGACCACAGAGATAGGACCTACGGGGCTGGGCGTGGTCTTAGGAGGTGGGACTTGATATTGGGCGCGGCCTGCTGGGGCTAACACAAATCTCAGGGGGCGGGGCTAATGGGGCTGGGGGTGTGGCTAAGTGGGGGCGGGCTTGGCTTGGGCGTAGCCTAGCTGTCCTAGGAGAGTCAATGAGGAATAGGCCTTCAAAACTAAACCAAAGTCACTGCCCTCCAGTGGCCTCATAGCGACCCCTCCTTGAGTTTCCCAGGCGTATCTCTTCGGAAATAGATTGCCCAGTCTTCCTTCTGAAATTTGGCCCTAGAGAGGCTATGAAACAACAGACCAAACCCACTGCCATAGATTCCGGCTCTTAGCAACCTCCATTGGGTTTCCAAAGCGGTAAAGCTCCACAGATGTAGATTGCTCATCCGACTTCCACAAAGCAGGTGATGGATTTGAACCGACAACCTTCTAGTTAGCAGTCAAATGCCTTAGGCACTGTGGCACCAGAACTCTTTCAAGATAGGCCAAGACCTGACTTAAAAAAAAAAAAAAAAACGCTGTCATGGGGCAGATTCAGACTCAGCCACGCAGAACTACCCCACAGGGTTTTCATGGTCATAAATCTTTAGGGAGGCAGACTGCCCAATCTTTCTCCCAGAGAGGTTGGTGAGTGTCAACTGCTGACCTTTGGTTAGGAGGAGTTGTTGTTTTTATGTGCCGTGGAGTCGGATCCGACTCATAGAGACCCCTCCTTGGGTTTCTGAGGCAATATCACTGCAGAAGTAGATTGCCCCATCTTCCTTCCGAGGAGTGGCTGGTGGGTTTGAACCGCCAACCTTCTGGTTAGCAGTCAAGTGCCTTAGGCACTACGTTGGTTAGCAGTAGAATACCTTAACCCACTGTGCCATCAGTTCCTTAAGGCCTGATAGGATAGAGAAATGAGCCGTGAAGAGGCAGGGGCTAGCCAGAACTGATTGGATTAATGAAGAAAAATGCCTTGGTGAAGGTTGTCGGTGAGGGCCTAATTACCCTTGGCCACTGAGCTGTGAGCCGAAACTAATGAAGCTGGGGTGGGATGTTGGGAAGACAGACCTTCAGAAAGGCGGCAGTGTACTGAGGCGGATTCGTCCTAAGAGGGTTTTTAGGCAGAGCCTCTCTGAAGTGAGCTCTTGAAGGGGCGGGGTCTATTGCGTCTGGGCGGGATTCTGGGTTGAGAATTGGGTGGGGCCAAGATGATTCTGGCCATTGCTATTGGGAGGTGGGCCCTGGAGGGAGTGGAGTCTGCGGTGGGGGTGGGCTCTGCTTTCCTACTGGATGGGTTGGCCTGATGGAGGGAAAGAAGGGGCCTGACCATGGCAGCAAGGACAGGTGAGGACTAGGACAGATGAGGTGGGCAGAAAAACCAGTTAGGGTGGGTGGTGGGCTCGGTTTAGGGGCTTGGGATGCAGGGGCTGGGTCTGGCCGTTCTGCCGGTGCTGCCCGTTGGAAGCCCCGCCCCTGGCTCTAACTCCTGCATGTTTCTCTTCAGCGAAGCCGCTGCGCAGTATAACCCAGAACCTCCGGTAAGCCGCTCCTACAACTGGGGACCACCTTCTCTCTCTGAGAAATTTTCCAGCTCCATTGTTGCCCCTTTGGGGACGTCCTAGGCTATTAAATCATTCCCTTGTCATGTCCCCCAACCTTAGCCTTGCCACCCATATCCGCTCCCCAATCATTGACCGTATTCTCTTCCGTTAATCACCCTGCTACCCACCCACTCTGACTTCGCTACCCACACGTGAGTGTGGGGATCTGTCCTGGCCTGTGTAACCATCCTCCTACTTCTTCTGAGGTTTCTTTCCCTTCTCAGCCCCCACGCACCCATTACTCCAACATTGAGGCCAATGAAAGCGAGGAGGTCCGGCAGTTCCGGAGACTGTTTGCCCAGCTGGCTGGAGATGTAAGTAACCCAGGCGCCTAGCCCTGTCCTAACCCTTCCATGCTTTCCTGTGGGCTTCCCTTACATATATACACGTACTTGACCATGGCAGTCTCCAAGTTCCCATCCTCCTTCATGACCTGCCCAAGACCCCTTTTAGTTACTCCTGATTCTCCCTTCAGGAGCTCTGGTGGTGCAGTGCCTAAGGCATTTGACTGCTAACCAGAAGGTTGGTGGTTCAAACCCACCAACCACTCGGTAAAAGGACCATGAGACAATCTACTTGGGTAAAGATTTACCACCTTGGAAACCCAGTGGGTGGTCACTATGAGTTGAAATCGACTCCGTGGATGGGTTTGGGTTTTTGTTTTTGTTTTTTTTTTTTGATCTTCCCTTAACTTCTCTTAGGACATGGAGGTCAGCGCTACAGAACTCATGAACATTCTCAACAAAATCGTGACCCGACGTGAGTGACCAGAGTCAAGGCCTAGGGCAGGTTTAGACATGGGGCCTGGGGTGGCTGTGATCTCTGACTCTGACTTTCCACCTGTCTCCTACAGATCCTGATCTGAAGACGGATGGTTTTGGCATTGACACGTGTCGCAGCATGGTGGCTGTGATGGATGTATCCTTGGGGACAGTAAAGGGGAGGCCCTGGCTAGAGGGAGTTTTCTGAGAGTAGGATTGGGACAGCTAGGGTATAGCTTTCATACCCACAGACATGGATGTGGGTACATCAGAACATATACCCACCTATGGGCATGACGATGATAAATAACATCAGCTGTCACAGGGGTGTTTTACTTACATTAACTGACTAAGCTTTTACAGCTACCCTGTTAGGCACAATTACTGTACTCTGTATTTTATAGGTGAAGAAACAGGCCCGAGAGGCAATCATCTGTCTGAAGGTACAAAGTGGCAGAATTGGAATTTGGATTCAGGTCTTTAGGAGTTGAGAATCCAAGCAGATAGCTTCCATAGGGAAGCCCACCTGCACATGTTTGCACATATATTATGGCCAAGGGCATCCCCCATGCATGCATATGCATATATGTTATACCCAAGGGCACTCCCCCAACATATGACTACATATGGTGGCATTTGCACAGGAATATACACATAATGTGCCCATGGGCCAGTCATTAGCTAGTCTTGGGTAGCACACTCACCACACAGGACAGTATCACACATGGGTTGAACAGAGTTGGACCACCCCAGCTCTACCCCTTGGCAAGATTACTGAGGCTTTTGGTGCCTTGATTTTTCGTATCTAATAGGCAACTACACGCGAAGGGTTTAGCACAGTGCATAGCACATAGGGAGGGCTCTGTTCACATAAGCTGTTAATTTGATCTTGGTCAGGTAGACTTTTCATCTCTGAATCTGTTTTCTTCTCAGCAGCTGGGGAATGATAATGGCAGGGCAGTTGTATTAAGGATTTCATGAGCAAAATGATGTTCCTGAGGAGCTCAGCACAGTGCCTGGCATGTACTAAGGCCTTATTTACTGAGAACTTATTAAATACTGGGCCCTGAGCTAAGGTTTTATACCAGTATTTCATTTTCCATAACAAACTTAGCAAGTACCTACTGTCTTCTTATTTCCCTAGAGTTCTAAGACACATTTGTTTTTCACACATTCCAACATTTATGAAGTCGAGATACTTATGGGGAATGTCCTTTTTTTTTTCAAAAAAAGAAACAACTTTTTTCACTGAAATGAAGTGTAGGAAGGGGACGAATCTTAAGCAGCCACCTTGGTGACTTTATGTATATGTATTTCCAGGTGTAACCAAAGAATGCATACATTAAGTGTTGTGTCCCTTTCCCCTGAAGGGCAGTTATTAAGTCATGGAGCTTTTTCAGTAGCATTGACCTTATAAGTGAGGAATTAGCAACTATTTTCTGGTGAGGAATTTGTAGTTGGTAGTTCAATGTAATTCCCCAATGGTTATGTTGAAAAAGAGAGCCCTTATTATTTAGAAGTACAAAGTAAATTATATATGGATAAATGAAAAATAAAATCACACACAAGATGATGTGACCAGGGTGGAACTGGAGCTGGCATTTTTAGCCCAGGTTCCCCTGCTTGGCTGTTGTCATCTTCATGTACATAGCAGTATGTGTAGTGCATGCATTTGAATATAGTCATCACATTCTTAACGCGCTCCCACCAGAGTGACACCACAGGCAAGCTGGGCTTTGAGGAATTCAAGTACCTGTGGAACAACATCAAAAAGTGGCAGGTGCGTGGCACTGTCGCATTTCCCAGCACCTGAACCTCCAAGCCATGGAGATCCGATTTCCTGTGACACTCAGTTGACCCCTGATATCTTCACCCCCACAGGCCATATACAAACAGTTTGACGTTGACCGCTCAGGGACCATCTGCAGCAGTGAACTCCCAGGGGCTTTTGAGGCAGCAGGTGTGGCTGGCAGCAACATGGTGGGGTTAGGGGTGGGATTGGAGAAACAGCTCTGGTCTGAGCCTGATTTGGGGAATGGGAGTGGTGGGCCCTGTGGCCCCCACACCTGAGGGGCTAAACTGTTCTCAGGCTTCCATCTGAATGAGCATCTCTACAACATGATCATCCGGCGCTACTCAGATGAGGGAGGGAACATGGATTTTGACAACTTCATCAGCTGCCTGGTCAGACTGGACGCCATGTTCCGTGAGTCATGCCTCAGCTCTTCCCACATGGGGTTTGTTCAACTCCCAGGGGCCCAGATCTTTCCTAAACTAAGCCTGACCCTGAGTAGGGTGATGCTAGAGGCACAGTGGTAACCAAGGCAGCACCAGTGCCTGCCCTCATGAAGCTCGTAGTCCAGTGGAAGAGACAAGCCACCAGACATTTATAGCCCAGGATGATCAGGGCTGGGATAGGGGGAGACTGGGCAGTGATTAGAGCTCTGAGTGGGATGGACAGGCCAGAGTGGTCAAGGTTGTACTGAGGAAAGCTCATGGCAGAGGGATGGGTTGTGATGGGGGGAGACAGGCAGAGTGATTGGGGCTATGATGTTGAAAGCACAGGGAAGAAGGGTCGGGGTTCTAACAGGAAAAGCTCATGGCAGATTGAGGGGGGTGATAAAGTTCCAGCCAGAAGGAACAGTGTGCAAAGGCCTAAAAGGGAGAAAGTGGTGCTTCTGTAGGACTCCTAGGAATGCAGAGGTGAGTGCTGAAAGGGGGTGGGATGGGGAGACGTGGGTCTGGGGGCCGATCATGAGGGCTTTTATGAGCATCAATGCTGCACTGAATCCTTAAGTCATTCTTGAGAAATGGGAATTAGTGCCCTCATTTTATGGTCTTCAGAGGGTTTAAGGAGCCAACGTTGCTTGCTCACAGATGTTCAGCTAGGAATTGGCAGATTCAGAATCTGAACTCAGATCTGTCTAGTCCCTGAGTAAGAGTAGAGTAAGGAGGCAGGAGCCATGCAGAACCGTGAATACCAAATCCAGGACTCTACTGGGGGCCTTGGGGGAGCCAAGGTGGGTTCTAGGTAGGGGAGGGGCAGGGTCAGATTTGGTTTTAGGAGATTCCTCTTGGCCTCCCAAGCGCCCAGGGAGGAGGCCAGTTCAAGGACTGTGGGAAGACAGGCTAGGGGGCAGAGAGGCAGTAAGGGCAAGGCCTGGGTAGGGAGGCTGAACAGATTGTGGTGCTTTGTGAGGGGGTGCAAAAGGAGGAACAGGTTTAGGGGAGATGCTGAGGTGGTAGATGTGAGGTCCTCGGGAAATCCACAGGGAAACGTCAAGGCAGCTTTAAGACCTGTAGGTCTGGAGTACAGAGGACAGGCTCAGGCCGGGGGCAGTGACTAAGGAGTATGTGAAATGAGAGGGGCAGAGAGCCAGGACTTGGCCCTGGGGCTGGGGAGGGCAGGGTGAACAGGATTCAGAGCGAGGGTCTGTGAGATGTCAGGAACCTGGAGAGGCGAGGACAGTAAGGCAGATGATGCCAGAAGTCACATAAGGCCCAAGAAATGGCCATTGGATTTATCAGCAAGGGGGCAGTTAGTAACTGTGGGGGGTACAATGTCTATGTGTGGATGCCTGAAGGCAGGAGTAGGGGACCCTCTCAGACTCTACAGGCAGGAAGTGGAGATGGGGCTTGCAAAGCCTCCTTTTAGCAGCCTATCTGGGCTAGAACTGGAGGGGATGGCGCTTAGAGGTCTGTGGGAGGCTTGGCTTGGGCAGAGGTGCGACAGGTGGGACTCAAGCCAGTATAGGCAGGCCGTTACCGAGGTGGACAGGCGCCTGGGTTAGAATCCCAGTCTGTTTACTCTCTTGCTACCTGACCTCATACATCACTTTATCTGTGCCCCGTTTTAAAATGACACTTACCTCACAGGATTGGATTAAAGGCATTAATAAATGGGAAGCACTTTACACAGCACTTGGCATGAGTAAGCACTCAATAAAGTATTAGCTGTATATCATCCAGGAGCTCTGGTAGTGCAGTGGATAAAGTGCTTGACTGCTAACCAAAAGGTAGTACTTTGAACCCACCAGCTGCTTCACGAGAAAAAGATGTGGCAGTCTGCTTCCATAAAGATCTATGCCTTGGATGGCAGTGGGTTTTTTTTTTTTTTTTTAATACAGTATCTCATATATAAAAGGAGCTCTGGTGGCGTAGTGCCTGAGGCATTTGACTGCTAACCAGAAGGCTGGCAGTTCAAAGCCACCAGCCACTCCTCAGAAGGAAGGTTGGGCAATCTACTCCCGTAGTGATACTACCTCGGAAACCCAAGTTGGGTCCAAATCGACGGCAGTGTGTATGTGTATCCCATATATAATACTATCCCAAGAGTGAATATCTTTCCCTACTCTCCCCTCCTTCTCTTCTCCTCTAGGTGCCTTCAAATCTCTTGACAAAGATGGTACTGGACAAATCCAGGTGAACATCCAAGAGGTAAGGACCCTCAGAGGTGTCAGTGGCTATGGGGTACTCCATCTCTTAGCCCTATGCATCAGCTCCAAGCTTGGCCCCTTCCCTCCAGTTTTCCCCACAACCTCTGGGTGAAACAGAAGGGGTCTGGATTTCTGGGTCCCCTGACCTTCACTCTCTGTGCCTTTCTCTCCCCAGTGGTTGCAGCTGACAATGTATTCCTGAATGGGGATTTGGGACCTTTCCCCTCGTCGCCTCGATACAAGAGTCCCGTTGGATCCCTGGATCTTTCCCAGGGTTGCTCCTGTCTGTAGTCATGTCTCCATAGGTTCTGTGACCCACAGAGCTCTTCATGCTCCTAGCCCTTGGCACCAGCTTCTCAGTCAACAGTCAGAGCCCAACATGTCCCAACATGCCATGCCTGAGTTACCCCTGGCTCTAAGACACTCCCGAGGGTCACCCCCACCCCCAACATACCCACTCCATAACCTTCTCATGCAACCTGTGCCAAGCCCATCACTTGCATTGCTTCAACACCCCAAAGGCCCTTCCTTCTGTTCTGGGAGGATCCCTCCAGTCGCTGCACACCGTCACATCCATTCACAGTTACCTCCCCAGACACCCGCTCTCCTTGCTATTCCCAGATCCCACATACCCCAGTGCCTTTGTATGTATGCAGCTCTCAGGCCCAGGCCCAGGCCCAGGAGGAAATAAAAGCATGCCAGTTGCTGCTCTCTGCAGGATCTGCCTCCTGTTCTGCGAGTTGAGGGGTAGTTCAGGCTCTGTCTGGAGCAGAGGGAGCCTGGGTCCTGGGTAGGGATGGGTGGTTTTGTCTGTCTCCAGTTCTCAGGGTTGGATTTGCATGTCTCCTTTGCTCATCTGCGTCATTTTTCTCATCCTGGATTCCAGTTGAGCCTTATTCTTTCTGAGATTCCCGCACAGATCCTAGGAATGGGGTGGCATGGGTAGTGGGGCTGCTGGGACTGGGACCGAGAAGCCCAGGCAATCTCTTTTTCTGCTCCCAGGGCCAGGGCTGCTAGGCGATCTCAGTGCCCCAAGGTTCTGTTTGCCCTCTCGGCCGCTATCTTTGTCAGTCTCTGTCCTCTTAGTGTCTCTGCCTTCACTGTGTCCTGGTCCATGCCCTAGATCTTTCTTCCCACCCTCAGGCCTCTGCAGGAGGAAAGGCTGCCATCCCAGGATTTATAGGAGACCCCGCTGAGACCCTGAGGGGCAGCCCAGGGGTGCCATTTGGGGTTCTGAGCCCCCATAGCAGGGTTGAAAGGCAGCAGCAGCGTAAGAGTAGCCCGAGTCCAGGACGAGGAATCCAGGGCTGAGGCACGGAGCTGCCCACAAGGCAGAGATCCCTGGCTGCTTGAAGGATGGGTCTGGGGATACACACAAATACACACATACAGACCAGAACTGGGGTAGGTTCCCCAAGAAGGAGGTGCATTTATTGATGCTTGTCTAAGTCCTCTAGGCTTCTTGGTCTCACTTCTTGTGGGGGAAAGAGGCCCAGGCAAGGCAGTACAGGCTGTAGGCTGTGCCTAGGGAAGGAATTGGGGCACGGGGGGATGCCAAATGAGATCCTCATCCCCTCCCTGAATCCCATCTCAGGCTTTAAGCCTCTCACCCCAGCCTGCCCCATTACCAGCAGGGATACCAGCCACAGTTCAGGCTCCAGCTCCCTTCTCAAACCACAGCTCAAGTAGGGAACCCCCTGGTCTTGAACCAGACCACACTGGTTGCTTTCTCCCCAACTCCAGTCTGGGCTCCAGGTACACTGCTATCCCAGGCAGCCTTCTGCAGGAACCTAAGCTGCTTGTCTGAACCAAGTCCAAGCTCTAGGTAACCCCCTCTCTATATCCCAGTACTCCAGTCTTGTTACCTACCTGGCCCACTCAGGATCTATTTCCTACCCTAGACCCAACACCCCCATCTCTCAACTCTCTTCCCAACCGGGGTCTGGGAACCAGTCCCGTCCCCACGTCCCCCCCCCACCCCCCGCAGATCGGGAGGGCCCTGCACTCACCCCCCAGACACAGCCCCATAGTCACTTTGTATAGGATGTTGTCAGTTGCCCCGCCTTTCAAGTGCACCGGGAGGTCATTGTCTTCCTGCATGTGGAGGCAAAGGATGAGAAAGGGGTGCAAGTTACCCGGTGGACTATATCCCCCACTTCCCTTTGCCCGCCCTGCTCCGGTTGTCAAACCCGCGGCCTGGGGTCCTCCCCTCGCCGGCGCTCTGCCCACCTGGAAGAGTTTCTGTTTTTCGGCCACGCGGTTCTGGAAGCGGTTCCGGGCGGTGGAGCTGAAGGAGCGAATCAGCGCCTGGGAGGCCTGCGGGGAAGCGAGTGTTTGGGTATTGGAGGTGCCTGGAGGAGCGTCCCGAAGTGGGTCCAGCAGGGGACTCTGGCTGTCCCTTGAGAAGTGTCTCCCAAGATCCGAACTGCTGACGAGTTAAGGGGCGGGGGGGGGGTGTTCTATCGACAGAGGCTCAGGTGAAGGCCTAGAGGGTCGCGTGTCTTGGAGGTTACCAGTTGGCCTAGAGGGCTCTGCCAGGGAAGCAGATCCAGAAGGAAGACTCAAGTAGCGGGGTGGGGTGGGGGTGTTGGGGGGCGGGGAGCCTAAGCCTCGAGCTGTTTTATCAGGAAGGGTTTCTTTGATTAGGGGGAGGAGCCCAGTTTTTAACTTGTCGGAACTGGATTGGAAATCCGGGAAGGTGGGAAATTGAGTTCCCAGTGCCCAAGTTCTGAGTTGTTATTTAAGGGAGCCCTGGATGTTCGGCAAAACTTCAGACCCGGGGCTTTGAACATTGATAGTAGGTTCCCGGCTGCCTCAGGAGGTCTTGGATGGAGGAGGGGGTGGTCCCGGACCTAGAAGGGGGTTCACGTTCTAAGGCCCCATATCCCAGATTGTTTAGGGAGTCTTGTATTGGGGCGAGGGCTTTGGGTTGGGGGTCCCAGGACGGCCCGTAGGTTCCCTCACCCGCAGGACCCTCATTTTGCGTCCTCTTCGGCCGAAGTCACCTCCCCTCAGCCCAAGGACACATAGTACTCTCCCCGCCAGGAATCCCAGGCCACGCCCGGCCACGACAACTGGGGAGGCGGGGCCTCGGCGGATGATGGTGGGAAACCCGCAAATTGGGTGGCAGGATTTGGGTTTGTCCAATGGGCGCGCGGAGGAGACGCCAAATGGTGGGAGCACCATCCATCTGTTACTCCTTTCTGGATTACTATTGGTCCAAGTGAAGAGGAAAGCGGTGGTAGAGAAAATACTTTCAGATTGTTTCTCTAAGATTCTTCCCCAGAAAAAACCTTGAATTAAATGAGAATCATCCTGATTTAACAAAGATTACATTATTTTCACTGGACAGAATGAGGTTTTGAGATAGAAATTAGTTTGTTATAGAAAAAGTTTTAGTTCTTGCAAAAAAAAAAAAAAAATCATTCCTCAGTGCTCTCGAATCTGAGTTGGTATCGAGGAGTGAGAGTAAGCACAGATAAATGAGTTTGAGCTCCTTCATCTAGGCACACAGACGGGATGAGTGCACGTCTGAGCCTTAGTTTCTGTATTTGTCAAAAAAAAAAAAAAAAAAAAAAACTTGCTGCCATCGAGTTCACTGGACTCACAACGAGCCCTCCTTGGGTTTCCCAGGCAGTATCTCTACGGAAGTAGATTGCCTGCCGGATCTGCCTTCTGAGGAGTGGCTGGTGGGTTTGAACGGCTAGTCTTCTGGTTAGCAGTCAAATGCCTTAGGCACTACGCCACCAGAGTGGGGCAGAGTCAGGGTCTTCCTCAAAGGTTTATTGAAAGTGTTAAATGAACTCCTGTGAGAGCAAAACTGAGCATTAACTTAGCCCAGTAATTGCACAG